CCCTATCGTTGGGCTGAGGTCCCAGCACCATAAGGCCCTGTGAGGACCCAGGTTGCCAAGAAGCTCAGGCAGGTGCCACAAGGCCTGAACAGATTTGGGTATTGTGTCTAGCCTGTGCCAGGGACCCTGCCAGTCCCGAGGTTCCGCTGCCTGCAGGGCTTCTAGGCTGATGCAAGTTGGTGGGCCATGAGCTCTGTCACATCCTGGTCAGGCCAAATCTGTTGAGCCCCATGAGCGGGGGACCTGAACCCTAAGAGGCTAGGAAATTCCTCTGGAACTACAGGCTGCAGGGCCAGTAAAGCAGATCTGGGTCAATCAGGTGGGACATCAGTGTCCTCAAGGCCTGGCCAGGCCAAGAGCAGAGAGTCCTCCGTAAAGCCGGGAATTCTGTAACTCAACTGTGTTGAAAACTGGGTGTTTGTATTCCAGTTCACTTAGGGAGAAGCTTCCCGTGGGGCATTCTCCTTCCTCCTCCTCCTACACGAGAACAGCCCACATGGTAACATTGTGCTGAGTCCAGAGGCCCTTCCCGCCTATCTTCACTGTGACCCGGAAAAGGTGGCCCTAAGTGAGGTGGCAGGAGGGCCTAGGCTGAAATGCTGGAGGAGCTCAGAATTTAGAGATGTCCTGCTGAGTCCTTCCGGTAAGGAGGTAGCCAATCTTTCACTTTCTGAGGTTTGTTTCAAGCATGTAGGACCTTCATACTCACTATTCCACCCTAGGCCTTCCATCTGGTGCCCTCTCCCCTCCTCTCTGCCACTTGCCCCGCCCCGTGGTCTGCCTCAGGTGCCTGTGTGTGTCAGGTGCTGTGCTGGGCATGCTCTATACATCAGCTCACACAGCCCTCCTGGCAGCCTGGGAGGTTTGTGGGGACTCAGTACCATTAGTACAGCTGTGCTGATGGGCCGAGGACAGCATAGCACAGCCCACAGTAAATAGTGTTATATACACACCACAGGCCGCCACAGTAGGGCCGCTGGCCAAATCTGACCTGTGGCCTGTTTCGTATGGCCTTTTGAGATTAGACTGATTATTAAAGGGTTATAATAAAGAAGAATATGCAACAGAAACTAAATGAGGCCCTCAGACCTAAAAGATTTACTTTCTGCCTTCATAGACTGATTTTATAGGCCCTGATGTGTACATTCCAAGAGCACAGGTTATGTAGCCACTCTGCCTCGGTTCCAGACCTCAGCTCCCTCATCTATAAAACATGGCCGCCTCATAGGGTTGTTAGAATTAAAAGAGGTAAAGACTATAAAGTACTCAACCTCAAGTGAGCTTCTTTGGGAGTGTTGGGGGAAGATACTTCTGGAGCTCTGCCAGGCCTCTCGACCCAGTGGGCATGAAATCCTGGCCCCAGGCCTCGGCTACCCCGGCCCAGAGCACAGCCCCCTCAGAGTGTGTTTCCTTTGGCAGGAGGAGAGGGACCCGCCAGCTGCCCATTGTGCTGAGTCCTGCTGGTAGGTCAGCTCTGCCTTCCTCCCACCCCCCTTCCTGCTGACTGTCAGCTGGTGCCACTCACCAGGGCTGGGCACACAGCCCACACCAGGTGCCGGGCTAGCTCCGAAGGTACCAAGCCTCTCGCACTCTCCCACCCGCGCCTCAGATCAGCCTGGCGGAAACTCCTGCTTCCCTGCAGGAGCTGCGGCCTGGGGTGCATCCTCTCTGTGGGCATTTCCTCACTCGGGGCCCCACAGGCAGGCATCTGTGTTCCCCGCAACCCGAGGTTTTGGCCAATTACTGCCTTCCCATCAGGGAAAAGGCAGGGGGAAGGGGAATCCTAGGCCTCCCTCTGTTGGAAACGTGGTCTGTAAAACAGTTTCAGTAGATAGTGGATGCAATGTAGAGAGGACACATTTTAAATCACTGAAAAATCAAAAAGGATATTTTCTGATCTAGATAGGCTTTTCATTCTTACAAGCAATAGAAGAAATGATCAAAAAGCAATACATTTTAATACTTAGAATCATAAAACTTATGTTTTATATCAAAGACCCAAAACAAAAATTTTAAGTCAAACTGAGAAAAAATATTTATGCTAGATATAATGGTGAAATAATTAATATTCTTAAAAATATTTAAAACAAGGCCCTTAATCAATGGCAAGAGCAATAGCAAATATTTATATAGTACCATGTGCCAGGCACCATTCTAAGTATTTTATACATACTTAATCCCTGTGAACAACTTCATGATAAAGGTATTATTATTATTCCCATTTAACAGATTAGAGAACTGAGGCACAGAGAGGCTAAGTAACTTGCCCAAGGTTACACAGCTAATACACAGCTAGGATTTGAACCCAGGCCATCTGGCTCTGGGGTCTGAGCACTTACATTTTCCATACTAAAAAGGAAAAAAATATGAGGCAGATAATACACAAAAGAGGAAATACAAATACCCGAGAAACATAAGAATTAATTTTCGATTTGAATGGTAATAAAATATACAAGTTTGAAGAATAAGATACCATTTTTGTTTTCAAATTGGAAAGATTCTTAAACACTTTAATAACTAATAAATGCTGGCAATGCTGGAGTGAAACAGACTTCTCCAGGTTGCTGCAGCTATATCAAGTGGCCTTTCTGAAAAGTATTCTGGCATTTCTCAAACCAGCACTCTGAAATCCTGAAGATGTCCATACCCTCTGACCAGGAGTTCCTATTCTAAGAGTCTGTTTTGAGAAAATAATTAGCAAGAGAGACAAAAATTCATTCATGAAGATGTCCATAAGCATGTTGTATAAAATAATGAAATGTGTGAAAAAACCTACTTATCTGATAACTGGATACAGATTAAGGAAATTATTTAATCTCCACAATGGACAATCAGGCAGCCGTTTTAAATGAATCTGTACAACAAAAGACACCATAAAGCGAAAAGACACACCTCAGACTTTTGGCGGAAGACACCAGGAATGCATTTAACAACAAAGAATTATATAAACAAAAGATATACAAAGAAAATTTACAAATCAGTAAGAAAAAGTTAAACAACCAAAGAGCAAAACAGGTGAAGAATTGATATAGGTAATTCATGGAAGAGGCAATTTAGGGCTAATAAAGTGATGGCATCTCTCTCTAGCAGCCAGGGAAATGCACATAAATTAAATGTACTTACTAGAATTAGCTGAAGTCTGAAGGTAGAGAGGGAAACAAGTTTATATCCATGGCTGATGGGACCAACATGGCTGCAGCCTCTGTGGAGAGCTATTTGGTCACACAAATTAAATGTGATTCCACTACACTCACCTCTAGGGGTTAACCCTGCACAAACACCCATTTGTACAGGAAGACATGTTCAAGGATGTTCATTGCAATGCTGTTTATAATAGCAACAATATTAGTGTTATTGTTGTATTATAATATTGTATATCATATTGTCTGATAAAATAGCAACAATTATTACCATTAAAGAAATGAAAATGGATAAAGAAGGGGAAATGGATAAGCAAAATGTGATTTCTGCCTAATTGGATACTATACACAGTTAAAATAAGTGAGCCAGATCGGAAACTGTCAGCTCAGATAAATTTCAAAAACAATGCTGTGTAAAGAGCAAGTTGTAAAAATGGTGCACATTTGAATGACACTGTAAACAAACTAAAAATATTACATAGCATTTAAGGACATGTATGTAGAGAAATATTAAACAAGCATTATATAACAGATTGATTTTTCTTTTTTAAAGGAAGGGTTGAAGCAAATATGGCAAACTGTTAACTAATGTTCTAAGTCTGGATGGGGATGTTGTCTTTCTGTTAAATTAATTGTTGTGCCTTTCTGCATATTGAGCTATTTTTAAATCTCAAATTATTTTTAATTTACTTTTTGAATAATTTGAAATTTCATGGAGAAATGTTAAGGGGTAAAAACAGGACAATAAATATTTACAAATTAAAGTGAAAGAGATATCTAAAATATTTGTAGTAATAGGCAAAATTCTGCTTTTCTTTACATCCATATTTTCCATGTAGATGTATTACTTTTATTTCCAGAAAGAAATTCTAACAACTACAAAAAAAAAATGGTGTTTAGCCCCTTGGAGAGGGTCCGAAACCCTGGAAGAGGTGGTGGTGGTGGGGGGGCATGGGGAGAGACCTGCACCGCCCTTGGCTTTGATGTTTTCTTGCTGGGTGGCTCTGAGTTCATTCTATCTCTTATCTAGTCAGCAAACCCTTACTGGGCACAACTGTGTAGCAGGCACTGTGCTGGAGACAGCAGTGAACAGAAGAGTTCCCTCCCTCACGGTGGAGCGCGGTGCAGTGAGGAGGAGAGGACACACTGCGGCCACATGGCACCTCTCCGGCCTGCTGGCCGAGCACAGGGCAGTGGCGGAGATCAGTGAGACGGCGGCTGGGGAATCTGGAATCCAGAGGATGAGGAGGAGGTCTGGAGCCCAGTAAAGCAAGGACCTCGATAGAAAGGATGGCCCCGCAGGGCATATGGAAGGAACAGGAAGCAGGCAGGGTTCTGGGATGCAGAGCCGGGTGGAGCTGCGCATCGGGAAGCCAGCAAGATAGCCACAGGCCAAGGAAATGTCTCTAAGGGTGGTGGGAAGTCACCGAAGGGTCCCAGGTAGTGCTATGGTTAGATCTGCAGTCACAGGGACCCTCGATGCTCTGAAGATCTGAGTAGATGCTGAGAGGATGGCGTCAGGTGGGGGTGGGGGTGGCCGTGGAGATGGAGAGGTGCGGAAGGATTTGAGATGATTTTGGAGACAGCATTTTCAGGTCTTAGAGCACATGTTGAGGGAGTGACACTGAGGGGAGGGCCGGGGGAACGCCAGGTTTGGGGCAGGGGCAAGTGTGGGCTGGTGGGAGTGGGAAGCCTGGCGGGGTGGAAGCAGGGACAGTGAGCACGCCACCAGGTGTCCCTGAGCTTTGGTTCCTTCCCGAGTAAACTGGGGTGATGAGGATGCGGGTGCCCCAGGGTGAGTGTTTCAGTCTCTTATCCAAAACCTGAGCCACCTGCAGCAGTCTCCTCTCTGCTTCGCAGATGGGACGTGCCACTCCTGGGGCTGGAACGAGCACGGCATGTGCGGCGATGGCAGCGGAGCCGACGCCTGGGCCCCGAAGCCTGTGCCGGCCCTGCGGTCCTCGGCAGGACTCCTCGTGGGCTGTGGGGCTGGCCACTCCCTGGCCCTCTGCCAGCTGCCAGCCCTCCCTTCCCCAGACGCCAGTGAGGACGCCAAATCTCAGGAAGCCACGGACAGAGAGCAGCTGGAAGGAAAGATAACCGGTACCGTCTACCCGGAGCCAACGTGACAGGTGCCGAACGTGGGGGCTGAGGACAGGGACCCGTTAATAAAGCAGCTTTCCCCACTCAAAGTGTCCTGGAGAATTGCTTTGTCGCTTGTGGGGTTGGCCGAGAAGGGCTCAGGAGGCGCTATGGCCACTGGTGGGAAAGATGGGAGGCTGCCTGCCCGTGTCGGGGGCTCAGGGACCCAGACGTGCTTTCCACTCAGCAGATGAGAGTAGGGGTTGGGTCCTCGCCAAAGGACATGGGAAGCAGCAGGAAAGCTCCAGGTCTCCCTACCTGCTGGGGACAGAAAGCCCAGGCCTGTCCCCGGTGGTTCTGTTCCTGCAGCCTTCGGTTCAGCAAGACTGAGGCGTCCTGGGTCACACTCAGCGCAGCCGCAGGCCCCTTGGGTTTATTCTCAGGGCCCAGAGCAGGTAGCTGTTTGGTTCAAGGGAATGAAGGCACCCTGATCAGGTGGCTGGAGACCTGGCCAAGAGGGAGTCTGGTCTTAGTGACTAGGACCAAGGGAGGAAGGCTCTGGGGGGCCTGGGGGGGCGTGGGGGGTGGAGATGATAAGTGGAGGAAGAGACATGACTTCTGGGAAGACCCAGCAGAGCAGACCCCTGGGACAGACAAAGGAATCTGTAATCTAGAACTCACCGTCCGGAAACTCAGAAGCCTGCTGTCTTCATCTGAGCCAGGCAAGACTCTGGAGCTAGTCTGGGTGACCATAACTGCCAAGCTGTCAAGTTTCAGATGAGGGGCAGGCCACTGCATGGAAAGGGGAGTGTGCAGGGATGGCGACCCTAGCCCCCTTACATCTGCCCCCAGGCCCTGACCTCTGCAGGGAGAGGGCCTCAAATGCGATGGGGACCAGGCCAGACCTAGGCCCCAGGCTTCCCCAGTGGCAGCGAGGGCTCTGGGGCTCCTAGTTCCTTTCTCTCCGCGGTGACTGGCAGCAGGCCTTTGGCCAGAGGTTTCAGAAAGCAGCTTCCCTGGGGCACTACCTGCCTGTGGCCCCAGCCAGCCAGCCAGGTCTGTGCCGTCCCACACTGACGTCCCTCCGTGGCCCAGGAGAGGGTTTGGCTCTGTGAGGGCTAGGCTCCAATGGCTTTAGGAAGTCACAAAACCTCAAAACATCAAAACAGGAGGACCTGTAATGACATCACCTCGTGGCCTCCAAATGCGTTCATTAGAGTCCTAGGAGTCTCCTGAGAACTCGGGCCACCTGGTGGGCTCTGGGTAAAGGAGGCCAAGTGGACAGAGGTCTGGGTCCCCACCTCCACCTGATTCACCGAGGATATTTTTTCCATTGATTTTTTTTTTAGAAAGAGTGGGAGGAAGGGTTAGGGGGTGTGTGGAGAGAAACATCGATGTGAGACTCATCAATTGGTTGACTCCTGCATGTGTCCCAACCAGGGTCAAGGATCAAACCTGTAACCCAGGTCCATGCACTTGACTGGGAATCAAACCGGCAACCCTTTGGTTCAAGGGCTAACACTCTAACCACTGGGCCACACCGGCCAGGGCTACAGTAGCTTTATTATAATCTGTATTATATATTAGACTTCATATAAGATTTCACTTGACAAGGGGTCCTTGAGAAAGGTTTAAAACCACTGATATTATCCAGTATTTTCATTGTGTGGGAAAATGGAGGCCTACAAAGGGGAGGGTACCATCTCGAGACCATGTACCTCACTCCTGACCCAGGTCCTGATTTAGAGGTGACCCATTCAGGGACCAGACCAGGGGGAGGGGCAGAAAAGGGGTAGCCCTAGGACCAAGACTGGGACCATCCTGAGCTCCCCAGGCCTGAACCTAGAGACTACCCCCCCTTCGGCTGCCCTTGAACACCAATGCGTGGAGCCCTGCTCCCAACTCTGTACCTAGAAGACACATTGCTGCCCTGGCCAGCAGACCCTTGGTCCCCCACCTCCCAGAGCCATGAGCCAGTGCAGCCCAGGCACTCCTGGGGTCGGGGAGAGACATCGCTGTGCACGCTGAGCTGCTCTTGCCAAGGTGGCCAAGCCCTCAGAGATGAAGTGATCCATGGCCCAGAGATGTCCTATGCTGAGCAAGCCCACCAGGACTGGCCACCACCCCCAGGCTGGGGGTCTGAGTCAGATACAGGCCAGGGGAGCAGACCCACATGGGACCGTGCTCAGGCCCATGCCTCCGAGACAGGGTGTCCACTCACGAGGAGCCACACCCTTGCACAGCATGGCAGTGCCCAGTTCCCTCCTACCTCTTTCAGCACCCGCTGGAAGAAACTCAATCCCCAGTCTTCTGAGGCTGAGCCCTTTGCCTCTTCTGAGGCCTTGTGGGCACAAGAAAGAAGTGCCTCAGGGCTCCTTTCCAGCCTGAAACAGGGTCAGGTGGTGCACCAACCCTGAGCCGCAGCCCCTGGCTCAGAACCTGAGTCAGACCTTCTTGGAAGCACGCAGGGCACAGATAATCCGCACGGTAGAGTGAATGGCCTTGGCCGTCGAAGACACTACAGGCTGTCCCGCCACCTCAGTTACAAAGTTTTGCCTCCCTGACAGCCGCAGACAGACTTTCTTCAAGGTAGTTCACGGGCTGGATCTGATGGGTGACTGAATGTTTGGGGGCGGGGAGGTGGGTGGGGGGGCTGTCGACGGTGTCTCCCAGATTCTTTTCTGGAAACTTTGATCCCTTTTGCTCTTTCTCAGGCTTGTGGATGTTCAAGCCCATCACTCCTAATAGACCCTGAGCTCTTCGAGAGCAAGGCCAGCTGTAGGTCGCTTCTGGAACCTTTTACCAAGGACGGGTCCTGCTATGGAGGAAGTGCCCGACACACACAGTGAATGAACTTGTCACGACACCTTTGGGTGCCCATGGAGTGCGGGGGTGAAGCTAGTGGGAGCTGTGACCCCTCACCCCACCGCCCTCTGCTTTCATCTCTGTGACTAGGCTGATGACCGTGCTGTGGATAGCATCACCCTTTGACAGTCAGTGTCAACACCACCCGCCTGGTTAGCTAATGAACCACAGGAGCCTACTTGAGAAAATACCCACTCAGTTTTTAGAAGTTTTTTTCTGATATGCCCCGGTTGGTTTAGCTCAGTGGTTAGAGTGTCAGCCCGTGGACCAAAGAGTTGTGGGTTCAATTCTAGTCAAGGGCATGTACCTCGGTTGCAATTTGATCCTCAGCCCTGGTGGGGTCGTGTGGGAGGCAACCAGTGATGTGTCTCTCTCACAAGGATGTCTCTCTCTCCCTTCCTCCCTCCCTCCCAGTCTACTGAAAATCAGTGGGAAAATATCCTCGGGTGAGGATTTTAAAAAAGGAAAGTGTTTTCTTATAGATGAGTGAATTGGCCTCACGCGCCTCCTGTGGGAGAGGAGGAGGGGACATGAAGAGGTGGGACCCTGTCGTGTGCTCACAGGTCCTGGGCCTCGCCCTGGAGTGATGGCGGATGGTCCTCCATGGACCAAGTGTTAGTGGGAGATTCGCCGCCTCACCTGCCACACACCCCTGGCGGCGGGTGCCCCCTCCCGACACAGTCGCCCCCTTTGGTCCCAGGGACCATCAGAACAAACCGACATGAGGTCACGCTTGGGACCGGGGAATCAGGCCTGGAGCTCCGAGTGAAGCCCCCACCAGGCCCGGGACACCCAGCACTTCTGAGAGCAGAACTCAGCGATCCCTCGGAACTGGGAGTTAGCAAGTGAGCTGGGAAGGGATGGGGCCGGGGAGGGAGCCCGTCCTGCGGTGCGTGCGTGCGTGCGTGCGTGCGTGCGTGCGTGCCCGTGCGTGCGTGCCCGTGCATGCGTGCGTGCGTGCGTGCGACTGCCCTGTGCAGCGCGCGGGAGCGACTGGAGCGCAGGGAGTGAGCGCTGGGAGAGGAGAGGCCTTGGCAGCCCATTCAAGGAGATTCAGCTTCTTTCTTAGGGCAGCTGGGTGTTTAAGCAGGAGAGTGAGGTGGTCAGATGTGAGTGTGGGAAATTAGGAGCAGCCTGTGGCCTGGCCCCTCATCATAGCCATGGCGCTTCCTGAAGGAGGGCAGGAAGCCAGGTCCCGAGTGCCCAGGGACCCTGGGCCAGCGAGTCTTTGTTCCTATTGGGGCAGCTTAGCCCAAGCTCCGGAGTCGGACCACCTGGGTTTCAAATCTTGGCTTCATCATTCACTGGCTGTGTTGCTTTGTGCCCTGTTCTCTTGCCTCTACAATGGGCGTGTTAAATTACTGTGGGCTCTCGTTAGACAACTTTTCTCAGATGCCTGACTCGTAGCAGATGCTCAGGGTGTACTAGTCTCCTTCCCCATTGGCTACACTGAACCTGAAAACCCACATTCTGAGTGGCTTTGTGTTGGGTGCCACCTGAGTCCCCCAGAGGCCCTTCCTCCAGGGCAGAGCCCAGGTAGAGGACACACTACCTGCCTTGCTGCAGCGGAGGCTGCTTGGCCTCTACACCTGCTCAGGAACGGCCGTTCCACGCACCGTGTGGATCTGGCTGCCCTTCGGCTGAAGGAGCCCTGGGCAGAGGCCTCCTGCGCTCACTGCCCCTCTGACCTCCACCCCTTGGTTCCCAGGTCTCAGGGCACCAAGAAGTTGAGGCAGATGCTTAGAGGGGATGCAACACTGTGAGGTGAACATTGTGCCCACCTTCAGCTCTGCCCTCACCTGATCATTGACTCAGGCCAGGCGTCAAGGAACCGAAATCAAGGGGAGACCGACACCTACTGGTTTGTGGCCCTGGGCAGATCACTGCCCACTCTGGGCCTCCGTTCAGAGGTTGACTATCACGACCCTTAGGAACTCTTCTACCTGAACATTCCCGAATGCCCTAATGGCGAGGAAAAGAAATGGAACCCCAATTCCCCACTATACCCTCAAACAAAACTGAACAACCCAAGCAGATCAAGATCCTTGGGAGAGGGCCCCACCCCTTCCAAGATACCTCTCGGCTGAGTGATGGTCTGAGAGCAGGTGCTCAGCAGACTGGGCCCAGCATGGATGCAGCAGGGTAGGGCACCCAGACCTGTCAGTCAGACCCCTGCCTCCAGCTCCATCAGACTGAGAATGGCCCTAGGCGGGAGGTGACTGTGGTAAGTACAGGGAAGAGAAGGGGGAGGGGGCTTCTGACATGGCCAGATTCAAGGAGTTGGAATGTGGTATGACTCAACAGAGAGCTTGCCGTGTGGGCCTGGAGAGTGTGCTTGTCCTGGTCAGGCCCTTGCATGCCCAGCCCTTTCTGAGGGCTGCCTCCTGCCCCCAGCCCACAGGGTCTGCAGGGAGCTGTCTAGGGTGCAACCTCTTCCTTAGGGCCTGACCAGAGGCTCAGAACCAAACTGCGACACTGACTGAGGCAATAAAAACCCAGATCCGTGCTTCATCTCAAAAGTCAGATTTTTATTACCAAGGGCCAGGGCCCAGGGAGGGGAGGGTGTTGAGCTAAAGCAGCATTGCTCTCTTTCCAGGGAATGTTTCGAGCTGCAGGGAAAGCTCGAGATGTTGCATTTTTTTTTTTCAACTCAAGCATGTGTTTTTCAAAAATATCATCCGTCCCCACCCCCACCCCACCACTAATTTTAGAATCAGACCAAAGCCAAGCTACTGTCCTCTGTTTCTTTTGGGAAAATACTATATTTATTCGAGATGCAGACGTGTGTCTCTGCAAACCTCCCGTTGCTTCAGGAAAACAAATCTGCTTTAGACTATACAGAAACCATGGTACAAAATTTATTTCATGCTGGAATCGCTTTGCATAACATTGGGCATGCAGTTTTTACTCTGAAGTACTAAATTGCATACAATGCCAGGTTGTGCCTTAGTCGGAGGAGGAGGGCCACCCCTCCCGTGGTCCTGATCTTTGGGTGCTCTAAAGAAACATGTGGAAAATCCATACGGTGTTGATTATTTACTATGAACAATTTGTGATGAAAGTTGGTCACACTGGATCTACACACCGCAGAAGATGATAAGAATCAACCTAGACTAGCCGCTGTCAGGGGTCTCGGGGTGACGTCCGCTGGGTCGCAAGCATGCCAGACAGAGGGAAGAGGGCGGTGGTGCGACTTTCCACAATTCTATTTGGAGCAGAGTTCTGTTTCCATGTGAGAGATGAATTATGAAGGTGAGGTCAATATGACCAATGACTGACCAGCTGCCCTTTTGGAACCTCTCCTCTTGATCTTGTGTACAAAAAAGGGAAGCAATCTGTTCCCACCCCACCCCCTCCCCCAGAAATGCACAGGTTTCTACCGAATGCCCTTCCCATCAGGCTCCAGTGTGTGTAAAAGTAAAGAGCTTGTAAAGAAAATAGAGGACTTCCGCTTTTTTCTTTTCGGCGTCGTCGTTGTTGTTTAGGGTAATCATACAGTTGAAGGGGGATGGGTGGGTTTGGTTTGCTGAGTTTTCTGTTTAACTTCATGCAAGTCATGCTAAGGAATCCCTCCGCCCCCCGGTCCCCAAATAAAATAAAAATTTTAAAAATGAAAAGAAGGAAGAGAAATCCTCTACGGTCAGTTACCATTTGGCCGTAGAAAAAGCTACGTCCGTCCTAGCACAATGCCTGGGCCACTCGGACTCGTCCGGCAAACCTGCATGGCGTGAATTTACTCTGTCCGAGGGTGAGGAGGGGCTGCAGGTCCACCCAGATGCTTAATAGCCACCAGTGTCCTCGGCCAAGCCGCCTGGTCAAGTCACTCTCACAGCCTCTGTCGGCATATACTTAGCAATGACAGGGCTTTCTTTGCAAAGATCTGTATGTAAAGAATACAATTAACACTTGAGCTTCTCTTCTCGGCTCCCCCATCCCGCTTGGCACTTAGTTTTTACGGAAGGAGGAGGACAGACAGAACAGCCGCATGCAGAGGCAGGCAGGTTCTTCTCCAGCTGGCTTGGTTTTCCCATGCAGTGGGCCAGCCCAGCACGCCTCTCTCTCCCCCTGGGGGGCCGGTTAGACTCTAACTCCTCTCCTACTCTGCACACGGCTTATGGCCTGGAATTATCCTGAGAAAAGCAAGTCCTCGGCGAGAGCGGGGCCAGGTGGATGTGGGTGGGGGCACTTTACCCGTGGCGCCTCCCAAAGACTCTGTGGGATTGGGGGATGGGTACCACCCGTGGGCAGTGGCTGCTGCTGGGCAACTATAGGGAGAGAGGGCTTCCTCAGTCCCATTCTCCCTGGGTTTCTGGAAGCAGAGTAAGGAGGCTCTGTTTTTTGGGCCACACAGATGGGTCCAACACTCAAAATGGAGAAGGCAGGCAGCCCACGGGACCTTACCAGGCAGAGCACAGTCACTGGGACCGGGCTCCCTGCTTCCCCTCACTCCCCTGGACTGCCCCAGGCATTCTAGAGCCTCCCCTGGGAGACAAGCCGTTGCATTAGGTCTATCCATGGAAGGTGCCAAGGACGGGCCTACCCTCCCCCCCAGGCTGGCAGCCCTCTGCCGTGCAGCACCATGCGGGGAGCGCTACGCCGCGCTGGGGTCCGAGGGACCTCCAGGCAGGGCCGAGAAGCGGGGACCAGCTTGGACCAGGTGGGCACACTGAGCACCAGTGACCAAAGGACCCCCATCTCAGTGTAGACTGCCTCTCCTCCTCTGAGTTTGCCCTTTATTTTGAATTCTCCATTTTCTCCTGTGTATTGTTGAAACCACTTCGGATACTGGAGCAGTTGTGAATGGCCACAGGCTACACCAACTGTCGCTCTAAAAAGCCAACTAACTCCGTGGCCCAACCTGCTCACCTTGGTCAGCATGCAGCCCCCGTGAGCTTGGGAGGTGCTCCCAGACATGCATGAGCTGCCCAGCCAGTCTGCTGAGCTCAGGATAGCTTTCTCTGCCTCCCAGGCCCTGGGCCAAAGCCTGGAGCTAGGGTGCTCTGGGGTCCTGCCCCAAACCTCTCTCCAGCCCATGGTCAATCAACTCTAATAGAAGCCTTTCCCCCAGGTGTCAGCCTAAGATAAAGGTCTGGTAGAAGGAAGGAGTCCTTGAGCACAGGCCACCATGGGGCACATCCTTCACCAACCACAAGGGGGCGCTGACCACTCCCCGGGCCTGGCTAATGGATGCTGGGGAGGGAAGGGGTGCAGAGTCCTCTCTAACAACCTTCTCTTGGCAAGTTCTCCGTCGCTAGCAATATTCTGGCTGACCACACCTCACCTGTGCAAGGACACTGGCTTCAACCCCAAGGCCTGAAGCCACCTTTTTCTTCATAGCTCCCCTCCCGATGGTCTGTGGATTCTCTCTAAAGGATGCCTTTTCCAGGACATGCGTCTTGCTTGGGTGGCTAAACCCACAGGGTCCTGGCCAGGCCAGGCCCACTCCATTGCCCTCTTCAATCACTGGGTGGGAAGATCACTTTGCCTTTGGGTCTGACCTGCCATCGGCCAGAGCCGCCGGGAGCAGTCCAGGCTTCGCCCGCACCCCTGGGCACTCCTCTGCTTTAGGATCATGGCCTGCAGTCAGCCAGTCTATGTCCAGGCCCCTCCTACCGTTAGGTACTAACTCTTAATACCAACCCACAGCTGTCTGGACCTCAGGTTCTCTCTGCTGGCCTGACATTCCTGACATTAGGAGAGAGGAACTTAGATCCCGGGGGGAGAGGGGGGGCCGACCCTGGGGCTCCTTCTGCTCCCTGCCCCCCATCAGTGTGCCTGCCTGCCCCTCAGCGCCCCTCGCCCACCGCCCCACCCACCCATCTGCAGGAGCACGAGGCCGCCCGGCTGATGCAGTGCCCCCGCCTCCTCTACATACCCTTTCTCATTCCTCCACCAGGTGGGCACGGGTACTCCCCGGTTGATAAGAGGAAGCAGGGTCCGTATCTCTCGCGGGTGCCCGAGCGCGTAAAGGGCAGGCCCTCATCAGGAGTGAGGGCCTGGTCTATGTGGGGGCAGTCTTCGTTCGCCAGCGCGGCCTTCGCCACCTCCCCATTCAGTTTGGAATCTTCAAACATATAAGCAGAAGCTATTGAGACACTGAAAACTGTTTAGTGGGGGGATAGGCCGGAGGTGGGGCATGGGCAAAGGGCAGCCCGTCCCTGAGGACCGAAAAGGAAGGGACCACGGAGGGAGGCGTGAGGTTGGGGTTCTGGCTCATCCAGGCAGCCCGCAGGCTGCCACAGTGCTGCAGAGGAAGGGCGCTTGGGTTTGCTCAAAGTTTGCAAAAAGATGAGTTGGTGGGCCCAGCAAGCGTGGTGCTGGGGCTGGGCCCAGGGCCCAAGGCTGGGCTGATGAGACAGGATTGTGTGGATGCGAACATGGGTAGGGGGCCAGACACAGAGCTCGGGGGGAGACAGACAGACATGCTGAAACACTCTAGTCCTGAGAGGCAGCCTTTTCTGACCCCTCTACTGCTGGCCAGAGCTTGGCTGCCTCCCGTCCTTATGCAGCTCAGGATTCCCTAGCCCCGTACAGACCCATTCATCACCTCTATCCAGTGCCCATCTGGATCCCATCTGCTCCCTGACTTCACGCTGTCCACACACACACCCTATCTGATCACAGCCTCCCGTTCCCATATGTATCTAATCTGTTCCCTCTGTACACCCTGTCCCCATGCACACTAGGCCCGGTCACACAGTCTTAGACTCGGCCCGGTCACACAGTCTTCTCTGTCCCCATGCACAATAGGCCCGGTCACACAGTCTTAGACTGGGCCCGGTCACACAGTCTTCTCTGTCCCCATGCACACTAGGCCCGGTCACACAGTCTTAGACTCGGCCCGGTCACACAGTCTTCTCTGTCCCCATGCACACTAGACCTGGTCACACAGTCTTAGACTCAGCCCGGTCACACAGTCTTCTCTGTCCCCATGCACAATAGGCCCGGTCACACAGTCTTAGACTGGGCCCGGTCACACAGTCTTCTCTGTCCCCATGCACACTTGGCCCGGTCACACAGACTTAGACTGGGCCCGGTCACACAGTCTTCTCTGTCCCCATGCACACTAGGCCCGGTCACACAGTCTTAGACTCGGCCTGGTCACACAGTCTTCTCTGTCCCCATGCACACTAGGCCCCCGGTCACACAGTCTTATCTGTCCCTATGCACACTAGGTCCCCGGTCACTCAGTCTTCTCTGTCCCCATGCACACTAGGCCCGGTCACTCAGTCTTCTCTGTCCCCATGCACACTAGGCCCGGTCACTCACTCTTCTCTGTCCCCATGCACACTAGGCCCGGTCACTCAGTCTTCTCTGTCCCCATGCACACTAGGCCCGGTCACTCAGTCTTCTCTGTCCCCATGCACACTAGGCCCGGCCACTCAGTCTTCTCTGTCCCCATGCACACTAGGCCCGGTCACTCAGTCTTCCCTGTTCCCATACAGACTAGGCCCGGCCACTCAGTCTTCCCTGTTCCCATACAGACTAGGCCCGGTCACTCAGTCTTCTCTGTCCCCATGCACACTAGGCCTGGTCACTCAGTCTTCTCTGTTCCCATGCACACTAGGCCCGGTCACTCAGTCTTCTCTGTTCCCATGCACACTAGGCCCGGTCACTCAGTCTTCTCTGTTCCCATACAGCCTAGGCTCAGTCAATCAGTCGTCTCTGTTCCCATACAGACTAGGCCCGGCCACTCAGTCTTCTCTGTCCCCATGCACACTAGGCCCGGTCACTCAGTCTTCTCTGTCCCCATGCACACTAGGCCCGGCCACTCAGTCTTCTCTGTTCCCATACAGACTAGGCCCGGCCACTCAGTCTTCTCTGTCCCCATGCACACTAGGCCCGGTCACTCAGTCTTTTCTGTCCCCATGCACACTAGGCCCGGTCACTCAGTCTTCTCTGTCCCCATGCACACTAGGCCCGGCCACTCAGTCTTCTCTGTCCCCATGCACACTAGGCCCGGTCACTCAGTCTTTTCTGTCCCCATGCACACTAGGCCCGGCCACTCAGGCTTCTCTGTCCCCATGCATACTAGGCCCGGTCACTCAGTCTTCTCTGTCCCCATGCACACTAGGCCCGGCCACTCAGTCTTCTCTGTTCCCATACAGACTAGACTCGGCCACTCAGTCTTCTCTGTCCCCATGCACACTAGGCCCGGCCACTCAGTCTTCTCTGTCCCCATACACACTAGGCCCGGTCACTCAGTCTTCTCTGTCCCCATGCACACTAGGCCCGGCCACTCAGTCTTCTCTGTTCCCATACAGACTAGACTCGGCCACTCAGTCTTCTCTGTCCCCATGCACACTAGGCCCGGCCACTCAGTCTTCTCTGTCCCCATGCACACTAGGCCCAGTCACTCAGTCTTCTCTGTTCCCATACAGACTAGACTCGGCCACTCAGTCTTCTCTGTCCCCATGCACACTAGGCCCGGCCACTCAGTCTTCTCTGTCCCCATACACACTAGGCCCGGTCACTCAGTCTTCTCTGTCCCCATGCACACTAGGCCCGGCCACTCAGTCTTCTCTGTTCCCATACAGACTAGACTCGGCCACTCAGTCTTCTCTGTCCCCATGCACACTAGGCCCGGTCACTCAGTCTTCTCTGTCCCCATGCACACTAGGCCCGGCCACTCAGTCTTCTCTGTTCCCATACAGACTAGACTCGGCCACTCAGTCTTCTCTGTCCCCATGCACACTAGGCCCGGCCACTCAGTCTTCTCTGTCTCCATACACACTAGGCCCGGTCACTCAGTCTTCTCTGTCCCCATGCACACTAGGCCCGGCCACTCAGTCTTCTCTGTTCCCATACAGACTAGACTCGGCCACTCAGTCTTCTCTGTCCCCATACACACTAGGCCCGGCCACTCAGTCTTCTCTGTCCCCATGCACACTAGGCCCGGTCACTCAGTCTTCTCTGTCCCCATGCACACTAGGCCCGGTCACTCAGTCTTCTCTGTCCCCATGCACACTAGGCCCGGTCACTCAGTCGTCTCTGTTCCCTTTCAGACCCAACCTGACCACTCAGGCTGCTCCATCCCCCACACAGACTTATGCTGGTCACTCAGTCTTCTGGTCCCTACACTGATCAAGCCAGTGGCCACCCGGCTCTGCCCCAAGCAGGCCTGGTCAGCGTGCACAGGCACAACAGGGATGTTTGCATGAGGCAGTGACAGCGGCCATGATTCGGGAGAGGCTCCCATTCCTCTGTCTCCTCTCAGCAGCATCCCCGAGAAGCAGAGCGAATGGAGGTGTAAAGACAACAGCAGCTGATGGACTCAGGTGGGGAAGACGAGTCCTGGCCTCTGTGGTAGCCTGAGAAGGCACTTGGGAGGAGGTCTGGAGGCACCTTGGGGGGTGGGGGGGCCGAGTGTGACCAGAGCAGGGAGCTCCCCTCTCCCAAGTCCAGGAGCAGCACCATGGACTCCCTGGAACTGGCAGAGGTGAAGGTCTGACCTCTGCGCCGCCATCACCCTGGGGACTGAGCCTGCCCCACACTCTGCTCTCAAAACAGCATCTTCCTGGCCAGGGTGGAGCCCACTCAGTCCCCATGGGCCCCTTGGCTCTCTCAGACTCCCGAGGGCGAGAGCCTCCTGGGAAGACGGACACCATCATGAGCGGGACCCCGGGAGAGGAGGCTCTCTGAGAGACTAAAGGGGAAAAAAGCTGGAGACAGTCTCCTCCCGATTTGACCCTCTTCCGTGACCCTGTTCACATCATGTAACTGCACGCAGAGGTGGTCCTCCTCCGCGGGCACACACTCAGCGTGCCTGCGGGCGGGATCACGGCCCGTGTGTGCACATCATGTCACTACAAAGAGGCAGTCAGTCAAAAGAGAAATGGACCAATCAGGTTTATTCGTAAAGCAAATCCAAAAAAAATCCCATCATAATTTTGGAACTTAAAAAAAAGTCTGTCATACAAGATGGCAAAGCAGTTCATGTACAGTGCGCTTCTCGACAAATCCCAGGGGCTTCACTTCCCAGTGTACGTTACCAAGGTAACTGACTCCCAGGACTGGGGCTGGGCCTCTCTGGGGTCTGGGGGCTGCCTAGCACTTGGGGGTGTCTGCAGGCACACGCATGTGCGCACAGACAGGCCCCGTCCTGCCTCCCGCTCTGGCTGGGCCCTGGCTTTCCTCCTAAGGGTCTCTGGGCTGAGGGAGGGAGGGAGGGAGGGGAGGAAGGTGGAAGGAAGGAGGATGTGGATGAGGGTGTGGAAGTCGGAGTCCATAGTACCCTGTGCAGATTTTCCTCCCGTGGAAACAGTAAGTCCTGCCAGGCAGTGTCTCCCTCTGGGAGGGGAGCCAGGGCCTGCTGTCTGTCTGTTGGCTGTGTCTGTCAGTGGAGGCATCCACAGCCTATAGTTCTGCCCAGGGGTGAGCCAAAGGTGGAGGGTGGAGCCTGAGACCCCTCCTCTGGCTCTGAGTGCTGTATCCCCACCCAGGGGCTCTGTCCCCAGCACCATGCCCCAGCTGTCCAAGCTTTTAAAGGGTCCAAAATTGGGGCTGGTTTTTCCCGCAGGGGAAGGGAGCAGGGCAACTGGCAGGGATCCCTAGGTGGGTGTGAGCTGCGCACCCTTCCTTCCCTGAAGGGACCCCCAGGACACAGGTGGGTCTACTTCTTTTCTCAACCGTGACTCTGAGGGGGGACTACACGGGGGTGAGACTGTGGAGGTCTCGCTTTGTGAAGGAGCCAGCCTCCCTGGGCTGTTGGTTTATCTGCAGTTTGGGGTGCTGTCAGAAACTGGGAGCCTTCTCCCTCCCCAACTCCAGAGGGGTGGCTGGAAGAGAGAGAACCAAAGGAGGAGCTGACTCTCCAAACCCAGGGAACCCATGAAAAAGGCCGGAGGGTCAGCTCACCCAAGACTCCCCACCCTTCTGCCCTTCCCCCACCCTTGGATTAGATGACCACCAGGAGCCTCAGTTCCCTCCTGCTTTCCAGAAGGCGGGGAGCCTGCCTCCCCTGGCCCAGGGCCCCTAGCCCCACTGGCCCCGTGGGCTTGCGATGATGAAATGGCAGCATGGGCAGCGGCTCACGGAGATGGTTTCCAGGCTTTGAAATGGGCTGACATAGATGAGCGTCCGCGGGAGGGTCATTTTTTTTTAAACTTTGGAGCAAGGAGAACCCGGTGTCAGGGCCTCAGCCAGCAGGGCTGGCTTTTTCCGCCCTGGTCTCCAGGCACCGCCGATGTACTTACTGTTCAGACCAGCAGCGGGCGCCGGGGGCGCACACAGGGCTGGGGCGGGGTAGGGGGTGGCTGGGCATTTCCTTGGGTTTAGCTCCAAGGTGTCTGCCCAGCGAGGGGCTCAGGGAAAAAGTCCCAGGCTATCTGGGGGCAGTCTGTGAGAGACAGGAGCAGAATACAGTCACGAGAACCGGCACAAGTCATGCAACAAAACGAGGAGAGAAAGAGAGGGAAACATGATTAGTGGAGAGAGAGATAAAGAGAGAATATGAAAAACACAGAAAAGAACACCAGGCCTGGCCCTCAGAGTTGCATCATTTTTCTGATACTGCCCCCTGAGCCCGCCTGGAGGCCACACGGACCCTACACGGACCCCAGCTGCCCACCCTGGCCCTGTATCTGAGCGGACACTTGATCAGCTCACGCAGAGGGGCCCTGCGCACACCCTGCCTGGTCACCTTCGCCCCAATCCTGTCACCCTCCCTGCCAGGGGCTAGCACCATTCTGGGCACTCTCTGCGGCCAAGCAGGGGAAAGGTGGAGGGCGGGGAGAGGGGTGCTTTGGAGTCGCTGCTCGGGGGAGAACTTCCCACCGCCACCTCAAAGATGACCCAGAAGCTGCAGTGGTAGCTCCCAGGGGGCCCAGGCAGGGTCTTCTTTGGGACCTCCCTGCTCTGTGTGCCTGTGGGCAGGAAGGGGATCTGGCCACCGCCCCTCCCCCATGTCAGCCCCTGCTCACCTATGGGGAAACCCCGTAGTCCTGGACATGGCACCACAGAGGAGCGACCCACATCACAGGAGGAGATGGACAAGACACACGTGAATGGACATGGCAGGACAGAGGGAGAACCCGAGCTGTCCAGAGAAGGGGTCTGGGCCTCCTGGCTGCAGGCTGGGGAGGAAACCTCTTTCTGGGCTATCAGCTCCAGGCAGCCGCTGATGATGTCCCCCCAGGACCAATCCCCCCAACACTGAGGCCACGCCAGCCACAGTACAGAGGAAAAGACCAGATTGTTCCTCACAGACACAGGGACCGAGGCTTCAGGAGAGACCAGAGGCAGAGGGGAGGGGAAGGACTGGAGGACTGGGAGGCCTTGCCCAGCCCCAGGGGTCCTGCACTGGTGGGGGAGGTGCCCTCAGAGCCCAGCCTTCTGTACTTGGCCCCAACCCAGGTTCTAAACGAGGAACTGGAGAACCTCAGGTGTTATTGAGGCCCCCTGACTGCCCTTGGGGGTAGAGTGAGGCTGGAGAGGCCTTGGGTGCTGTACCCCACCTCCCTCAGTCCCTGCAGGCCTGGACTCCACGCACATCCACAGTCCTTGCCTCTGGCCTCCCCCTACTCACTCACAAATACACCCCAGCTCCATGCCTCTCTAGGTGCATAGCTGTAAGCAGAAAAGGAGGTGATTGGGAAGGGACTCAGGGAGGCAGAGTGCGGGGATACCCCTTAAGGACCACACCCTCTCAGTGATAGTTAACCTAGGTCTCACACACCAGCTTTTGGACGAAGGAGTGAGTGTTCTGGTGAGGGATGAAGCTCAGAGGGGGTCTCAGAGCCAAGGCGGACGGGCCTGGACATTAAAACAGCACCAGCAGGGGAAGTGAGTGGAGATCAAATGTGGGGATGGGACAGGGAAGGGAGGAGGAGGATCCTGGCACCTAGGCTCCAGAGGACAGGCTTGGGAGGGCCCAGAAGACCTTCTCGGCCACAGAGACTGCTTGGGCCAGAGCTCTGGGTTCTAGGACCTGGGCCAGGGTAAGGACACCCAGGAGCAGGGCTGCCATGGCTGTGGGGCCAGGGGATCCAACAGGAGTACATGGGCTTTACAGGTCTGCTGCAGCATGGGAAGAGGGCCTATGTCCCTGGGACTAGCTGGTGTACATGTCAGAACACACAGGCCTGCACTTTGTGTGTGTGTGCATACATGTGTGCATGCATGTGTGTGCATGCGTGTGTGTGCGCACGCTTAGCACACACAGAATACTGGCATTGTCAGGAGTGCAGACAGTCTGTGCCTGACTGGAGTAACTGGGGATCCTTGACAGGCTGGCCTGGGGCACCCATGCTCGGGGCACTGATCCTGAAAGATCCCGTGTTGGGGAGGATGTGACGGAAGGGCCAAGTAGCACCACGGTGATGCCACTCAGGCTCAGCTCTTCTTGAGGGGGCCTGGAGACCCTCCCCTAGAGCTCCAGCAACTGTCCTTGCCATGATGGTGGCTCCTGAGGTCAAACTGCTCCCTTGTCCAGAGCAGAGGTGGGGCAGGAGCTCCCCCCCCAGCCCATGCCTGACTTCCTAAGCAGGAGCCAAGCCTTGGTGGGGGGAGCCCAGCCCCACCTCAGGCTCCCTATTCTAGCTTCTGAGACCCCTGGTCACTAACCAAGGTCCTCTCAAGTGCCTACAGGAATCCCAGGAAGGGGGAGGGTGTGGGGACAGGAGAAGGGGCTGGAGAGCCTCCCTGGGCAGAGAAGTGGGCCATGGGGGTACCGTTCTGGGCAGCATAGCTGTGGGATGAAGTCAGATCTGGAGCATGATGGGGGTGGTTGGGCAGAGAGCGCATCAGCAGGGAGACAGAATCAATCATACGCTGGGGGAGGCCACCCAAATGGGAAACCTGTTTATCTAGGGCTGAGTTAGCCTGCAGCACCCCTGCCAGACCTGGACCCGGGATGTCCTTCATACACTAAACGCTACCTGTCACTCAGCCTCCCTTACCCCATGCCCTTCTTAGCTCAGGGCTATATTCTTCTCTGGGCCATCCATTCCCTTGAAATCCCTGTGTCCACAGAATAAGTCGATGGTATTCCATGGGTAGAGGTAGACTATGGGCTTTATATCTTCGGACCAGAGCCCCGTGATCAACTTTATGTGCTATGTGCAGGTTCTCATAAAACTGAGAGTCCCATAACAAACCACTAGCCATGGAATATTAGAATATATCCCATGGTGACTAGTATTGTTTCGTGCCCCCCTCCCCCTCCCCCCTCCCTGACCCCCACCGGATTCATGGGAAAGTGGTTGTACACTGGTTGGGGTGTCATGTATTGCTGCTGCAGTCCCTACCGCCGGAAGTGGGGAGAACCATTGGTGGGAGGTGGTTGCTGGTCTGTAGCGCTCTTGTCTAAGCTGGTCTAAGCTGCCCGGGGTGGTGGCCCCTCTAATCCTTCGCTCACCAGCCGCTTCCATCAGAAGGCCATCGGAAACTCCCACTCAACCATCAACCCAAACAGACAACGTGAAAGCTCGAGTCACTCCAACAGGTTCTAAAGATAAACGCTAAACTCTAGAGTGATGGCAGAAGATGAGTTGGTTCGGCATGCTATGGGGGAAGTAAGCTTGTTACGGAGGGCTGGAAGCGTCTCCTAGGGCACCCCTGGAGCTAGGCAGCCGGAATCAGAGCATGAATTCCACTCAGCTACGGAGACAGGCTCTGTCGGGGTGAGAATCCTCGCTGCTGCCTTTGCAGGGACCCTCCCGCCAGATCCCATGCACCCTCTGTGCCACCTGCACAGCCTGAAGGGAGCCGTGTAAAGACCAGACCAGAAGCTGTCTGCCATTTCCAAAGCACACCCACCCCCGCCCTGCCGGACACCAGGTCAGTGGCCTGAGCCAGAGCCTCACGCTGGACGCCTGCCAGCGAGCAGCAGCCCCCGGCTCCTGCTACGAGAGTCCTCGCAACCTCGAGGGCCATGTCGTCTCTTCAGAACCTCATGACACCAGCACATCAACCTCCTTACCCAGGGCCACCAGTGAGGTTCCTCTAGCTGGCTCTCGCCTTGTGAATTTGGCTGCCCAGCGTGTCCCTGGGCCCCCAGGCTCCACACCTCGAGACTGAGTGTGGGGGTCCGGGGTTGCCCACGGAGCTAAGGAAGCAGTCTGACCGAATCTGGAATCATCGCTACGGGGGCAGAGATGAAAGGTCAGATCGACATGCCTCTAAGAGGTTTCCTACCTGCTCTGTTAATTTCTAAAATCTCTTCCTGGGCCAGCGGGCATGTGTCACTCTGAGTACTGTGGTGTGGAGAGTTTACGACAGATTTACAATAATTGGGAGATCCCAGCTGCGGTGGCCGTGGAATATGCTTCTTTTTTTTCTTTGGTAGTTTCTGCTTAGCCATGGCTAAGGAGTAATACATCCCGAAATTGTTCACGATGACGGGCACGGGCATGGCAATGGTCAGCACGCCCGCCAGCGCACACAGTGCCCCCACCAACATCCCGGACCACGTCTGCGGGTACATGTCTCCGTAGCCCAGGGTCGTCATGGTGACCACGGCCCACCAGAAGCCAATAGGGATGTTCTTAAAGTGGGTGTGCTCGCTGGCACTGGGGTCATTGGGTTGCGCCCCTATCCTCTCGGCATAGTAGATCATGGTGGCGAAGATCAGCACGCCCAGGGCCAGGAAGATGATCAGCAGTAAGAACTCGTTGGTGCTGGCGCGGAGCGTGTGGCCCAGCACCCGCAGGCCCACGAAGTGCCGGGTCAGCTTGAAGATGCGCAGGATGCGCACGAAGCGGACGACGCGCAGGAAGCCCAGGACGTCCTTGGCGGCCTTGGAGGACAGGCCGCTGAGGCCCACCTCCAGGTAGAAGGGGAGGATGGCCACGAAGTCAATGATGTTGAGCGAGTTCTTGATGAACTCTACCTTGTTGGGGCAGAAGACCACACGCATGAGGAACTCGAAGGTGAACCAGACCACGCAGACGCCCTCGATGTAGGTGAGGAAGGCCTCCGTCTCCGCTTCCCGGTAGTAGCGCACTTGCGTGCCGTTCCGGACATTCTCGATTTCCGTCTTGTTCACTATGGGGTTGAAGCGCTCGTGGGTCTCCAGGCAAAAGGTGGTGATGGAGACCAGGATGAAGAACAGGGAGGCAAAGGCCACATACTGCGGGGGAGAAACACAGAGTGTCAGAGGGCGGGCCCTCCCACTCGGAGCGGGGAAACCTGGGGTGCCTGTGTGTGGGGTCTAGTCAGAGGCCAGGCCAGGGTCAGACGCCTGCCCCCGGCCAAGCTGGCAGCCCACCTTTCCCTAATCAGGGCACCGGGTAAGAAAGCTCCGGAATGAAAGGATTCTGGCAGAGACTGCTTTGTATTCCCAGACATGTTTCCATTCCTCTCGGAGGAGTGGCTAGACTACATTTCCCAGCCTCCTCGGGGTTAGGCAGGGTCGGGTGACTGAGTTCAGGCCAGTGGACCCTACACGAAAGGGGCATGTAGGAATGCCAGGTCTGGCTCATAAAACCTTCCTACTCTGTCTTCCATGTTCTTTCTTCCCCCCACTGCCGGGCAAATACTGAAGCCCTAGGGGCCAGCAGGGCCACCGGAAGGAAGGAGTCTGGGATCCTGAAAAGAAAGACCACTAAATCCTCTGATTGAACTCTTGCTTGGGTGGGAAATATGCTTCTATCGTGTTAAGCCACTGTGGTTTGGGGAGGATTGGTTAAAGCAGTTAGCCACCCTGACTAATAAAAGTGACCTAGCTTGCTGTGGCTGGAGTTGGCAAAGAAACGAGAGGGAGCAGCTGTGGGGGGATTAGGCCACACCTCCCATCTTTCCTCCTTCCTACTCCCATCTACTCACTCTCCTTGTCATGGGTCTGTCTTTCACCCACAGAATCTCTTTCAGGTTCCACCCTATCTAGATCTAAAGAAGGTGCTTATCTGCCTCAGGGCCTTAGATGACTTTTTAAAAACTGCTTTCTTTATCCTAGGAACTCACATACCCAACCTGGAAGTGAATTCCCCATCCTGGGAGGCATTCAAATAGAGCTAAATGGTCATTTGTCAGAGCCACCGTGTGGCTGGTTCTGGCACCAGGAGGAGAATTGGACAAAGTATCCTCAAAGGCACCATAAACCACAGTGTCTGCTTTTCTCCTTCTGCTGTCTGCCAGCCCCAGGGTAGGAGTGTGCTGGGAAGGAGGAAGAAGCCATTGGGGTGCTGGGGTTTTCCAAACATGTAAGTACCTGCTTCTCTCAGATCCCATCAGTGAGAACGGAATGGCTGGAATAACCCAGCCTGTTCAGAACCACCTGCTCTGGCCCTGGGGGCCTGGAGAAAGGTTCAGGAGCCCCTTTGGTGTGGTGGCCCTTTATGATGACCCCTCGGATTTCTCGAGCCCCCAGCAGACATGAGCACCCACGGACAGAGAATCAAGTAGATGTCTGAGTTTCAAACCCTCCTTCTCAAGACTGAATTCCAGGCAAGGTCTCTTCTTACAGCCTCCAGTTGGGTCCCCCTGGAACTCTAACATGCCATGGCCCCCTTAGGCACAGCCCTGGGCAGAAGGAACCCTGACAATCAGCTCTCCTCCAGGGGCCCAGCTGGCCATTCTTGCCTGCATGCTCCTGCTGCTCCCCTTCCCTCTGGACCCTCCTTCTCTCCGCTTGGCGAAGACAGACCATGGCCGGAACAGGGCCGTCTTCCTGGAGGCAGCCCTGGGCTAGTCTGGACTAGGTGGCACCTGTGCTCTACAGAGGTGCCCTTGGAGATCACTTCAAGGAGGCCACGGCCTCACCCTGTATCTGCAGCAGGAGGCAGCCATGTTGCTTCTAGCAGTCTCTTTAGTTTGCACTGATGCCCCTCCCCACCTGGTTGGGTGGGCGGCATTGGAAGTCTCAGAACAGCCCTGTCTGGGTTGACCATGGCTATGGGACCTGGCACCCAACCTGGAAAGGATCAAAAACCAAGAACTATGTGGACCTTCCAAGCCACATTCTGGGTTGGGGACAGGGAGAAGTAAGGGGAAGGGACAACGTCAGCATTTCAGAATGTCAACAGAAGAGAAGCCTTTAGGGATTATCTGGTCCAAGACACTACGTGCTACAGAAGGGGAAGCCAGAGGCCCAGAAACAGGAAGGGCTCTGCCCAAGGCAAGCATTATGGTGCTGGTAGTCCCATAGGCTTTAGAGCACTGAGCAGTTTTCAAAAACTTGATCCCAGACTACTCTCAGCTGTGATCCCTAAGCATTCTTCCTTTCATTCACCTATCCCTCCTTATCCATCCATCATCCATCTATTGATCATCCATCTTTTGTTTCCCCCTCCCTACCATCCACTCATCCTTCCTCTGTCTATCCTCTCTCCCTCCCATCCATCCATCCATCCATCCATCCATCCATCCATCCATCCATCCTTTCTTCCTTTCCTTCCTCATCCAGCACCAGGTTATGCCCAACGCAGAGGGAAATAAGGCCCCAGTCCGGCCCCCAGGGAGCTCCTTGCCCAGTTGAGGGCAAAGGACACACATAGAGACGAGTACGATGCAGTGGACTAAAAAGGTAAGCCCCCTCAGCCCTATGAAGTGGGTGAGGTTTGGACAAGGTGGGACAGGGTAGGGACTTAAACCAGGTCTTCTGACTCCAGAAACAGCTCTGTAAGGGTCCATGGGTCCTCACAGAGGTAGACCAGGAAAGCAAAGTGGAAGCAATGGAAAGAGAACTCTTCTGACCCAAGTTTATCCAGCTCTTTCCATCAACAGAGTTGCCAAAGCTCTTGGAGCTAAAACATCCCTGTCTGCTGGGTATTTGGCCCCAGATTCCCCCTGGAGGACCCCATCTGGGAGCCAGGCACTCACAGCCCATACTCCCCATGGGCAGGTCATGCCCCAGCCATACCCTTCCCTGGCCTTTGTGACAGAGGGATGCCAAAAGGTAGGGCCCACTGCACCCTGGTCAATGGCAGAAGTCAGGAGGCATCTCTCCTCCTTGCTGCCCCAACAGCCATGGCATCACCCTCCCACTCTGTCCCACATCTACCCTCCTCTGTCCCCTCTGCTTATGTGTGACTCTCTCTCAACAGGGCTGCTGCTGTCAAAGCTAACAGGTTTTAGGCCTCAGTCCTGGCCACCAGTCTCAGTCCAGCCTCCAAACCAGAAGGAGCAACCGTCCAGAATCCCAGCTGCGCATGCCACCTGACCACGCTGCCCACAGGAAAGCCCGAGCGCCTCGGCCTGGCACGAGACTCGGTGCCCTGGCCTCACGGACTTCCTCACGTGCGCTCAACATTCTTGCCACATACACTCTGCCATTTCTAACCCCCACCTCCGTGTGCCCCCATCTCTGCATCTTCACACCCGTTGTTCCGCCAGAGCGTCCCTGCCAGCTGCTCTCTGGAGAACCCGCCGTTCCTCAGCGCCCCACTAAGTAGCCCTTCTTCTGGGCTGCCTTCTCCAGGTGAGGCTCTTCTTGGCAGCCGAGGCCCTTATGAGACAGCAAATGAAGAGACCCCCCAAGGAGCCTCTAAACTCGCCCTCTGGGAGACGGCAAGCCTGTCTCCACGCCTGGCTCGTTAGTGCTCAGGGGAGGCTCATGGGAACAGGGCACTGGTGTCCCAGGAGCCTTCTCACTCCCAAGTGCCCCCCACATGCCCCTAGAGCGTTCATTCCATTTGCTCCTCTCACAGGACAGGTCTTGATGGGAAAAATGAGGCCCAGGAAGAGGCCAGGTCTTATAAACATTAGGGTAGGAAAAAAATCCTTGGTTCTCAGCTGTCAGTGATCCTGTCTGATTCTTTCGTCTCTGGGCCCCAGAGCTGAAGGAATGGGGATGGGAGTTGGACAGCAGCGGCTAGGCCCCGAGCCAGACATTGGGACTTCTTCCCCAGGGGAGCTAGAAGACGTGGAAGCCAGGCCTCCTGCCCTGCGTAGGCTCCCGGGGCCTTCCTTCTGGCCTTTGCTGCCGGCATCCTGGTTCTTTGTCATAGGCAGAGCCCTAGCAACATCCGGGTCCAGGTGGACTCTTAGGAGGGCTATGGAGGAAGGTGCCCCTGGCTTGCTCAGACTACCACATTCTCCTAAGCCCAGAGACCAGCAGGTCAGAGCTCACATCCAGCTGAGTCCCCGGCTCCCTTCTGTCCAGCCTCAGGGAAGTTGAGCACAGGAAGGAGAAAGGAGGAAGTAACCCAAGCTAAAGACCTATTCTGTACCTTTAATCCTCATACCACCTGGTCAGACAGGTGGCAGTAACCCATTGTGCCAAAAGGAAGCCCAGGTACAGAGAGGTTCAAGGACCAAGGTTTGAAAGCGGGAGATGAAACAGAGGCTCGGACCCAAATCTATCTAGCTCCTTCCACTACTAGAGTGGCCACAGCTCTTGGGTCTAGAAACACAGCCCTGTGCACTGGGGAACTGACCCTGATCAGGTCTGAATGGTTCATCTTGGAGCTTGGCACCCACAGCCCAGACTACTTGAGGGCAGGCTATGCCCGTCTACAATGAGGGAGAGAGTTGGGATGCCTGGATCCACTGGCTGGAGCCCAGCCACACCGGAATGGTTCTTGGGCCTCTTTGTTTAGGACTTGAAGTGCCTGGGGCTAGAGCAGCCCCAGGGACAGGCGTGTGGCCACACCTTGCTCAGGAAATCAGTGCTGACAGCAGCCTTGGATGGGCTAGCCTACATCCCCACCTGGAGAACTTCCCTGAAGTCTCAGGGAAGGCGTGGTGGGAGATGACCTCAACTTGTCCAAGAAGCTCAGCCAGAGGGAGGGGGAGTATATAAGGAGGGGAGGGCCTGGGATCAGCTGACCCTTGGCAGGGAGGGACCCTCTGCCTAGCGGGGCCCAGGGCACAAGCCTGGACTGTCACTCTCCCTAGGGGCTGCAGGAAAGATCAGGGGCTGCACCCCATGTGAGCTGTCTGCCTCCCAATCCCCAGTCACCCAGAGGATGTGGAACAGTCACTCACAGACCATAGTCACACCATTACCCAGAGAATACACCTCACTCACTACCTGAGCACATACACTGTGCATGTGGCCACACAAACAGCAGTGTCCCGACTACACATGCACACAGAACACAGGGCCCACGGAGCACACGGAAACACACCGCCACACAGCAAACATGCACACCCAGGTGCTGTGATGAGGGCACATACCCTGCAATCCCC